TTCTTAAGTGTCTTTTATTTTATTTTGTAAAGCACTTTGGGTGTGCTGAATAGAATAGAATATAATTGGGAGGGAGGGTCGAAACCCTCTTTAAATGGTCACACATGCAGAGCACACAGCACACACAGTGAAATGTGTTCTCTGCTTTTAACCCATCCTATTACCAGGAGTCTAGTACTAGGAGCAGTGGGCAGCTAGTGTACAGCGCCCGGGGAGCATTTGGAGTGAGGGGGGAAGGTGGGTGTCCCGTGCCTTGCTCAAGGGCACTACGGCAGGGCAGGAGATGAACTGGGACCTCTCCCAAGTAGCAGTCCACACTCCATATTTAGGTCTTGTCGGGGACTTGAACCGGCGACCCTACGGCTCACAGATATGAGGGATTTCTAAAATGTATGATCTGTTTGGTATTTTGAGCAAAATATACATCATAGACATGTTTTTGATATATTGTTATATATCTGAGACCCATAATATATGCCTAAAAATAGCATAATAGGAGATCTTTAATGTCTTGTGGCTGAAATGAGTATTAAAACAAGACTCAAATATCTTGATAACCTTTCCCTGCTTGTTAAACAGATGAAAGGTGTACCTGTCCTCAAGTCACAGGAGAGGAATATTTTAGATCACCAGAATATTTGTTCTGACTGGACTCTCAGGGCTTCCCGAGGTCAGCCTTAAAGTGGCAGAGGAAGCATTTTGAAACCTTGTCTGGTGTGTTCACAGATGGATGGAGGTGATCAAGAGTGCAGCCAGCAACACAGGCCGGATGAGCCTGCTCATACCCAAAGGAGGTCCCATGGAGATAAACGGAAACTGATTCTGACAGGGTGCACCTGGGGGCTGGGCCCCCGGGACATCAGGAAACCATCATTTTCAAGTGAAGATTTGGACACTAACAACTGGAGACTGGAAGATACTGCCAGTTTAAGTGTTAACATTCAGCCTAAGGATTTAATTATAATGGTTCTATGCATTTCTTTTGTTGATAAATGATGTACATGATAACGTTTTCACAGTTAACAGGATATTATGAAAGGGAGACATGTACATTTTGATCAGTTTTTGCATGTGTAGCGCCCAATTAGGCTGTTTGCACAGGATGATTGGAAATAATGTTATATGGGACCAAGGCTATCAAAGGGCTACACTTTAGGCTTTTCTGAAGGACTTGACTCTTTAGATGACTGAAGCTTTGTTGGGCACAGAGGATTTACAGTATGTGGAAGATGAAGGTACATGATGGTGTGTGCTGTGTGCATTGTACTCTGAAAGGGTTAGTGTGAGAGATGAAGGTGAGCAGAAAGTTCAGGGGATGTTTGAAAAGGGTTTCCGAGTAGAAGTGATACATTCATGGAGATGCACAAAATGTTTGGATAAATTTATGCTACTCACACAATCTGGTTTCAACATTTCTGCGAGTTTTAAGAATATACCTGCATGAACTATTAGAATAAGCAGTGCATGAGGCGTAATGTTCCTGATGAAGGGAGCATACAAAGGATGGTTTAAAGGGAGTTGCTTTGCTTGGATCTCCTGATTCGTTGGACAGCGTTATGGCCAGTTTGGTGCTACAAATCTCTCCTTGACACAAAATGTATCCTGTTTTTATTTTTGCATAGGTATAACAGCTTCGAGAAATATTTTACAGATATCACTCTGCAGATTTTTTTCGTGGAAAAGCAAACCAGAAGAACATATTATGAAGTAATCGTACTTGGTGATGTTTGACTGTTTTAGACAAATGGGAGCTGATTCATGGGAGACCCACATGGTGCTTATTTAGTGCGCTATATGGGACTACTTGGTATATATTTTTTGTATAAAGACTGGAATCTTTAGTGTGTGTGTGTGTGTGTGTGTGTGTGTGTGTGTGTGTGTGTGTGTGTGTGTGTGTGTGTGTGTGTGTGTGTGTGTGTGTGTGTGTGTGTGTGTGTGTGTGTGTGTGTGTGTGTGTGTGTGTGTGTGATAATCTCCAAACCTGATCTTTTGTGTGTGAGGGCCTGACTGTTGCACAGTTAACTTACAGTACGGTATTCCTATTTATTGTTTAGCATGTCATCAGGGTTGTGCTCCTGAATGCCTCCCATGTAGTCTTCATGTTATTCCATTGGAAAGCTAACAAATAAAAGATCCTTTCAATCAGACTTTCTGTGCTGATGTGTTATTTGTACATACTTGGTCTTGCAGTTTTATCTGAAAACTGCTCAGAGCATAAAAACGAAAAAAACTGAATCACCAAAATCTTTGTCGTGCACTTTCGAACAACTTAAAAAGCGAAGTTCCACTATTGTTGATTAAACGGACCATACAGATTTATCAAGACAAGTAAAGTTATTTTATTTCAATAAAGTACCAGATCCTTTAGGTATAAGTCCTAAACCACAATGTAAAAGGAATTCAATGTAAAGGTCCCGCATTGAAAACATTGCTATACAAGTTTAATCATAAAAAAGGTACACAAATATATGAAAAATACAAAAATAAATATCAGAAAATGTTGAGACTACCTACATTGGAAAGTGTGTGACAATCCAAAGGCAAGCAGCAAGTCTGCATGTTGGATAAGTGGGAATCATGAAGTCATTGCTGCTTAACAAAATCCATGAAACAATCCATGTCCAATCGTTGATTCATTAACTGCAGCTAGCGATTATAGCTGCAGTTTTTCATCTGTGAAATGTGTGTTAGAGTAAGGAGAAATGTATAAAACACATTCTGCATTGGTATACACACGTGTGGTAGTATGTGTCTGCAGTGGTTGAATGTCAGAAACCTTTATTCGTCCCACAGTGGGGAGATGTACTCTGTACTGAGAGGGAGTAGACTCATAAAACAAAGAAGTTAAAACAAATATGTACACCATGGTACAAAATAAGCAGCAGTATTACAATAATTCAGTGATAGAAGTATTAAAGCGGGTAACATTAATCAATTGTAAAAGATAATTAAGTGCATATTGCATAAGTGTATGTTGAACAGTGTAAGTCACCCTTATTGGTTTTACATTATTATATTATGTTTACTTATGTGGACCCCAGGAAGAGAAGGTGTAAATAAAAGCAAAAGTGTATGAGTAATAATGATATCATGATAATGTGCAGACTGTGTTGAGCGTTCATAAACAAAGCATGGCATTCTTCAGGCATGTCCAAACAGCGTGACTGGGGAGCGGCTTCCCCAGAACCACAAAGTGACTCGTCTGCCAAGGAAGTCTTTTTTTCTGTTGGGGAGTGGAGAAGGTGTACAGCTGCTCACTGTCAGAGTTGGGCTTGAAAACAACACGGCTCAGCAGAAATGGATTTGAACTTGATACATTTATCTCACAGGTCAAGTTAAAAGACTGTTTACAGATAACAATTTCATAAGCACATCAAACATGATGAATACTTTGTGACAGAATGCTATGTGTTGGTTTCAAATCCTTATCACAGTGCTGTAATCACTGCACTCTCACTGGATTCGTGTCAGAGGGAACAAATAATATCTGAGCTTCCTCTTTTCACAATATAATGAGTAGGCAGTCACCATGTGACAGTGTGTTTTCCCCTTTATATATACAGTCTATGGTTTTCACCCTATTTCCTCCTTAAAAAACAAAACACACATTGTGCTTTTAATAAATGCTCACTCACCTAAATTTACCACCAGTGCTACAAAATCTGCCAGTGATAAAAAAAGGTATATGTCATCTTTAACCAGGCTAGCTGTTCCCTTTGTCTCCAGTCTTTAGATAAGCTAACATCTGCCGGTGTATAGTATACAAGCATTGTTGGAAGAAGTACTAAATTCCTTTACTTGTGTACTAGTGAAAGTAAAAATACTGTTGTCGTAAAATAATCCATTGAAAGTAAAAGTCCTCATTTCAAAATATGACTTAAGTTAAAGTAGAAAAGCATTAGCTTAACAATGTACTTAAAGTACAAAGAGTAGCTTACTGATATGACCCATTTCAGAATAACATAAAATACAGAAGTATTATCAGCTAAATGTACTCCAAGTATCAAAAGTAAAAGTACTTTTTATGTAAGAGCTTTTTATTACTGTAGTTTGGCAATGTGGACCAAATGTAATTCACTTGAAAGACTGTAGTTTAGTATACACTATACAGTACTACATTATGCTATATCATGTGCTCCACGAGGACACAGTAGCTAGTAACTAGTGTTAACTAGTTGTGTGTGTGTGTGTGTGTGTGTGTGTGTGTGTGTGCGCGCGCGCGCTGGGGGAGGGGCGGGGCTTGTGTTGCTCTGCTTATCTACGCCTTTGGACTTCACAATAAGTGCCCTTAGAAGGAGAGCCTGTCAGACTGTAAGAGTGGCATCAAATCTTCCCTTCATCAAACCTCCTCTTCATCAGTGACCGTTAGTATGGATATTCTAATAGGGGCGAATTAGCCAGTTAACCCCGGGTAAGTGTGATTTAATGTTCCTTACTTTGGGCGCATTAAGTGTTACTTTATGAACTCATACAAAACTTTCCGCTCGTGTCAGACTGTTCCTCGGTTTATTTAACATTTATAGTGCGGCTATATTCAGATTTAAGACGATGTCTACAAACTAATCCAGTATTTGTTATGCAGGAGATAATCTCCATAAATCTTCCCTTGCAGGACAGGGGCAGAGGTAGGGGGCTGTGCCGGGAAGAAGCGGTGCGGGGAGGAGCGCAGCGCGGTCCCGGTGGATGCGACGGCGGCATGGAGATGTTGCGCCGCTCCTCCGTGTTCGCTGCTGAAGTGTTTGACCGCTCGCCGACCGACAAGGAGCTGGTGTCCCAGGCCAAGGCGCTGTGCAGGGACTACATCCACTCCAGGCTGAACCGAGCCGGGATAGGCTGGTCCAAACCCGAGCACGGCCTGGCTGCCTCGGGGGGGGCTCTGGGGGAGATCTCCTCCGTGATGCTGTGGCTGGGTGAGTTGTGAGGAGAGTCAATGTGGAATAAGTACTTCGATCCTTTAAAAGTAGAAATACTTTGGTCTGCAAATTCTTAATCACAGGTGAAAGTCCCGAATTCAGAATGTTAAGTAGAAGTATGCTTAATGTACATGTAAGAACATTTAAATGTTGTATTTTGTTAATATTAAGACCATTAACAAATATATATATTGGTAGTAACGTACTGGAGTATAATATCATGTGTTTTATATGTACAGTATCTGGTATTTATTAGTGTTAATACATGTAGTGGAGTAAAAAGTAGCCTACAATAAATGTTACGAACTGTTAAGGAGTAGAAGTATAAAGTAGCATGATATGGAAATACTCAAGTAAACTAGTATGACAAACATAGTACTTAGTAGTACGGTACTTGAATAAATGTACTAGTTAATTCCCACCTCTGGTAAGACAATGGTAGACCATACACTGCACTTTATAAGAACGTCATTTATAGAATAGAAGAGAGAGAAACAGTCATGGTTAGTTCAATGGTATTTACACCAAATGCACAGTATTTCCATAGTATTCATTACATAAGTTTACATTTAATATATGGAATACACAGATGTCATGTTATTGGTATTTTTATAAAGAGATCTGTGGACCTGAACTGCATTGTACATTTGATCAGTGTTTGAACTAATTATTCAGTTTTTTACATTAGTAAAAGTTTTAAAACCATGATTTAAAATGGACAAGTAAAAGTCCTGTACTCCAAATATCAAGAAAATGAACTAAAAGTATACATCCTGGTGGAGGTTTGACGTCATTATTTAGAAATGTGTTTTGGGATTACCTTTCATTTTCCCTGGAAGACCTTGAAGTGATTCCTGGTATTCCCCAGAAAATGAAGGCGACAGTTTCATTGTAATGTTTGCTCACTGAGAAAGCTGATACTCCACCCGTCGGAAGTTTGCCTTTTATCACCCCACCTCCCGTTTAAATAGTTATGCAATTTACTGGAAACTCAGATGAAACAGACTCTGAGTTTGTTAGAAACAAACAGGGAGGATGTTTGGGAACTCTTTCAGGCAGAAAGACTTTATAAACGGTGCTCAAGACAGAGTTGGTAAACCTATGAGGCATAATCTAAAGATCAGTTTGATTGCTTTTGGACTTTGTTTTCTTTAAAGTCTACTAGATATGATGTAATTCCGGTTTAGACTACAACAAATCATCTACTCCTCGTAAACCTGTAAGCATTTATTTTTGAAAAATAAAATGTTCTGCTGAAAAAATGTAGGCCTATGTAGAGTATATTTAGCTGGAGCCAGCTGCCTGTTAGCTTAGCTTAACACAATGATTGGAAACAGGAGAAAACCCTAGCATGGCTCTGCCCCTAATAACACCTAATACACTATATCTCTCATTTACACTTTATATCTTGTTAGTTGTATTAGTACAACAACTGTAAGAACAGCACTTATTTTTGTCTCGTCCAGTTAATGACTACCTTTAAACAAAGCCACGTTAGCTGTTGCACCCTGCCTCCGAATGAAGCAGCGTGACTTTTTCATTTGTTGTGCTGCTGGCTTTAACAGCAACTCTATGACTGATGAATAGAACAAAATAGGGCCATTGGGTTACAATGAATTTATTTCCAACGAGGGAAGTAAACTAGGGAGACGTAGGCGATATTGACAGCTCCTGCCGCTGCTACAGAATTTATCCTTCAAAGATGGCCGCCTAGACATGACATGAGAGCGGTATCAATATTCATTGTTTTGATAAGACTCTCAAAACCAACTTTAAATTGAGACATGTAGCTTGTTAGTGGAGAAGAGTAATTATGTCAGCCAACGGACTTAATTTTGTCTGTTATAGAACACTATTCAGCTAAAGCTAACTTTAGCTACCATAGTATTAGTAGGCTATGCCAGACTTAAGATCGAGGCTGAAGCAACCATACCACTAACATAATTAAATCTAACAAGTTTGCCTTACTACTTCTTCAAAAGTAACCACAAACACACTATTTAGAGTTTAATGAGTTTAGTCTCTTGTGTTTTGGCCAGGTGATGAGTTGGAGTACCTTCGACCAAACGTGTACCGCAACGTAGCGCGACAGCTCAACATCACCGTGGCCTCAGAGAACATTGTGTCGGATGCTTTCCTGGCTGTGGCTGCAGATATATTCTCCACAGGTGGGTCCACATCAGAATCTGGCTGTGTTGTAAATCAAGCCTCACACACAGACTGCATCATGGGAACTAACTTTAGTGCCTTATTATTAGGAACACAAGTTTGAAAACAAAGGAAGAGTATTTGTCCTTTGAGGGAAGTTCATGTTGTTATCATCAGGGAAGGAGGAACTTAAAAACTTAAGCCAAATACAATAAAGAGATTTAAAAGAGTTTGGAGAACTTATGTCACTGCTCCTATTAATGCTTTTATATATTGAACAATTATAGCAATGTTTCTCTCTCTAAAATCCCAGCCTTGCATCTAAACAGCTCTTTTGCAGACTGCAGGATTCTGTAGTCAGAGACATTATGTTGCAGTCATTACCCCCTCAAAGAACAAGAGAGAACATTCAGTCCATATTAGGCTAACATGTTGCTGGAGCCACTGATTGTTACAGACAGTTTGGACCCCACCCAGGGAGTTCAGACATGAGCCTCAGCGGCTTTATACCTTCGGGACTGTAACAAAGCAAGCAAACTGTGCTCCTTAAAACGTGTGGAGTCACTTTGAAATATCACTTCAAACACATTACAATGACAGAATTCTTCTTTAATCCAAACACGCTCTAGGATTTGAGAAATACATTGAAGTATAGGCTTACATTTCAGGTTGAAAATATAGTTTCATTCTGACAGTGTACACATGTCACTTTGAGGAGGAAGTCCTGGGCAGCAGCAGATTACGTCCTCACTGTTCCTCAGGGCACAGATGAACACCCTACAATGTAGGGTGTTCATCTGCCTACATCATACATTACACGAGAGCCGGGTTTTTTTAATTGAAAGTGGTTTGAAGCCCTGTCTAATGTGGAAGCAAAGTTAGAGAGCAACCCATGTCCCTCAGGAGCTGGTTGGGGTCAGAGGTAGAGGAGACTCTGAATGAATGCTGATGCTGTGCTGCCTGCTGGATCTGTTCACTGAAAAACTGGGGGAACCTTTGTGAATATTAAACACAGGGGTGCTGTGGTGCTGCAAGACCCTCGCTATATCCATCTGAATGGGGGTCCTGAAAGGCCCCTAATATGTTTTCCTTTTTGCCCTTAGTAATTCATTGATCAGCAGCAAGGCTGGGCAAAGGTGTGTGTGTGTGTGTGTGTGTGTGTGTGTGTGTGTGTGTGTGTGTGTGTGTGTGTGTGTGTGTGTGTGTGTGTGTGTATCGGAGTGGAGTGGAGTTTGAAGATGGGCATGGTGTGAACAAAAGGGGGCAAAGGTTAACTTTGTAGACATGTAATCAACATATTGGTAGAGAGAATAATTGTAAATATAAAAATATACTTTGATAATATGAAGAAATAAGAAAATTAACTTGAGTTTATTCATGTGAAATTGACCACACTTTATCAATATGTTTATAGTGATTTCAATGTAATAATCTTTATGTTGAAAAATTCTATTTTTGATCTATTTGAACATATAGATTAGTTGTATGTCCAAACAGTAATTAAATGCATGTGTACAGTGGTAAAATAAGTGTGTTAAAGATTCCAGGTCATAATTCCTAAAATAACATTTTAAATGTCTTTATTTGGATTTGGAGGAGTATAGATACGTTGGATATCTATTCTGTTTTATGAATGAGCAAATACACCCAATAATATTGTGTATATCTCTACCTACTCTTAGATACATCTATTATTTTAAAGGAAAATTGTGACGTTTAAAAACGCGGTGTGAAGATTGAAAGAGCACGTTTTTATCATCCTGGAGGGCTGCTACAAAAGACACTGTTGAGTTGCATTATGGGAAACGTGTAGGATCTGATATTGTTAGCTCTTGATAATTACCAGACCTCTGATCTTTCATTACTGTTTTCTAAGTTTAATGCGTTTATCTTCTGGAGCAAAACGTTTCAAACCATGTAGAGTATAATTCTGCAAATTCCAGATCTCAGAGTTAAAGAGAAACATGACCTCCGTTTATAAGATCCAGAATGGATGGTCTGACAGTAACAGAAAAAGATGGATGGAGTCGAGGCTCCGTCTGTGTCTGCGGGACGTGTAAACACTGCAGGAATAGTCTGAAGCTCTAACTGTAAATGGTGCGGCAGCAGAAAGCTTTTCTCAACATGTGAACTAAGTTGGAAAAATGATCTGCTCACTAATCTAGCGAGGCATACTGCCCGCCCGCTGGCCCTGTGTTTGGGTTTCCTTCTCCGTGGGACAGACTAATGCCTGGCTGCTTTTGAGTCTTCACATTGTGTTCATCCCTCTCTGAAGAGAGCTGCTGACAGATGTTTGCTGCACTGAAAACTAGTCCAACTCCTCAAAGAGGCCAGAGTCACTACACTTACATTTACCATTTTCCAAGAACACTCAAATCTTCAAAAAAAATGAATTATTGGTGAAAATGTCACAATGTGTTCATACAGTGGCATGTGAACCCTTTGGAGTTTCCTGGTTTTATGCATGAATTGGGCCATTGAATGTAATCTGGGGCCTCATTTATAAAGCGATATACGCTAAAAAAATGGCGTACGCCAGTCTCTACGCAATGTTTGCGATTTATAAAATACTAACTTGAGGGGAAAACGTGCGGTCCTCCACGCAAACTCTAACCCATGCGTACGCACTGAGCACAAAAACGGGAGAGACGAGAAACTGCGACACCGTTGGCAGAAGGAAGAATGGAGAGAAATATGTGGAAATAATACCCTAAATAAAATGTTACTCTCATTTATCATATATGAAGAATTCATTTTCAAACATTGATTAAAGCCAATCTTAAAATGATTAAACAAACTCCTGTTTGCGACTCCTCAGTGCACACAAAAACGTAACTTGGAGAAATACATAAATACGGATATGTTATTTAAAACCACCTCGAATATGTTGTGTTAATGTTATGACATGTTTTCTCATAAATGATGCGGTAAGCAGGAGGACAGAATTACGTCTAAACTGACGCCGTTTTGCATTTCTATAGGTTGTAGATACGAGCATGGTTTTATATTTTAATACATGTTTAATCATGTTTTATGCCGTTTGCCAAGACTTGATAAGTCGCTCGTAAAACACAGGAGGTATGGAAACTAAGAACACCATATACATATTTGGATAATTGTACAGCTGATTTAACACAACACATTTGTTTTATTTCATTTAAGTGGTGGGTAGAGTTGTTGCGGTGGCGTTGAGACACACATGGTGCAGTGGAGCCGCTGCGCACAGCTGATCGGCAGCTGGAACACAAACCACGTTTGTAAACAAAGCCCCAACTGTTTTTACATACATGTGCAAACCCAGCTTAATTGCACTCGGTTTACTATAATTTCTAAAAAGGGAAGAACATTACGTTACATCTGAGGTAGGCTATCCTGTGCGTCTGGTGACGGGCACACCTCGGTGTGCAACTATATACGTTTCAGTGATTAAAAAAGCTTGCATGGTCTAAAATCAATTATCAATAATAACTTTTAACAGTGGTAGGCTACAACAAGGGTTAACACAGATTCAGCTGTAGGTGCCTTACATACCATATAGAGTAAAAGGGAAGCCATATAGTATTAATATTCATTATGATTATGACGAATCTTCGTCTTATTATGGCTAGCAAATGGACCAGTCAATAAAAGCAGGGTCATTTCTCCACCTGTACCTTATCAGATACAATCAGGTGGCCGGGTGTGTATACAAATGCGTGCCATCACAATGCGTAATGACGCACAATGGCTGATTTGGCACTGCTAGAGGACTTGGCGAATGGAAGAGTGCGGAGGGAGCGAAATTTCAGAGACCAGCAAGATTTGCTGGCCAATGATGATGAGTGGCTCATGAGTCGGTTCCGACTTCCAAGAGCGGTTTTGTTGGAGCTTTGTGCTGTGTTGGGCCCGGCTTTGCAGAGAAGCACACTGAGAAACCGAGCCGTGTCGGTTCCAATCCAAGTGCTTACAACACTTGGATTTCTGGCACCCGGCACGTTTCAGAGGGAAATGGCTAACAGGTCGGGGATATCCCAGCCAACCTTCAGGCGTGTTATGCCAGATGTGTTGGGAGGTATAATTGCGTTGTCGCATTTCTACATTATGTTTCCTTACACGGTGGGTGAGCAGGCAAATAAAAAAATGCAATTTGCAGCAATGTCCGGTTTCCCAAATGTAATCGGTGCCATTGACTGCACTCACGTTGCTTTAAGGGCACCTAGTGTGAATGAAAGTGCATTCGTTAATCGAAAGCACTTTCATTCCATTAATTCCAAATCATATGTGATGCGAACATGCTGTTAACAAATGTAGTTGCTCGGTGGCCTGGGTCAACCCATGACGCCTACATTTGGCGTAACAGCAGTGTTGGCCGCAGACTTGAGGCCGGAGC